AAGATTTTTTAATTGGGGAATTGGGGGATGGGAACAGCGCTAGGGAATTGGGGGAAGGGGAACAGACAAGTTGCTGTCCTTTTGTTCTTCAGTCTAGTTATGGAGGACGTTGCTTCACTGGCCCAAGTTGGCACCATCATTGCGCTCTTCCCGGGCGAGGCAGATCAGTCACCGGTTTCTGGACGGCCGCTCACTGCGGCTGCTGGCCACTCACGCTGATTGCTGACTGCTGGGCAACCCACTGCCCATGGCAACCCACTGCCACAGGAGCTGCAGCCTACGCTGATTCTGGCAACTCACAGCAGCCCAGCTCCAGGTTGAGCTGTTGTTCAGCATCTTAGATGTAGAGGGCAGTGTCACTGGCCCTCATATGTGGGATCCGAACCAGGGCCCTCTGGCGTCCCAAGCCCGCTCTTAACCAACGTGCTACTCGGCCGGCCCAAGTTCATGATTTCTTGATTCTGTAAAGTTTGAAATGTACGAAAAATGTAAGCAGAAAAAGAGTCTGTCAGCCTCCTACTGAGACAACCACTTACACATTAGTATTTCCTTCCAAGCTATGAGTTTCTTGGCTCCTGCTTTCAAACAAAACTGAATGACCATGGTAACTCATTATTTAATTTTTTTAAGTGAATAATATTTTGAAAAATGAATTTCTTTAATGTAATTTGTCATTATATAATTAATATAATTAGTAAATTCATATTTTTACATTTTGTGGAACTTTTGAATTTATAAAGGATCCCTAATCCAAGAAAATTTATTGTAGCATTTTCCCCATAAAATATATTTGTACATATGTGAAAATTTAAAAGTTAAATTCTTAAATGCCATTTAAGTTGAAATCTTTAGGAAGTGTGTGTACGTGTGTGTGTGTGTGTGTGTGTGTGTGTGTGTGTGTGTGTGAGTGTGACAAATGTGGAATCTGAAGACAGATCTGTCTCTGTTTTTGTCTGGATGGCCTTGGGCAAACTTCAACTCCGTGAACCTCAGTTTTTTCATTTTTCAAATTGTGATGCTAGATCTTTCCAAAGCACAGGGTTGTTGTAAGTAGCCAATAACATAAAACCTATGAAAGGACTTCTTGAATTACAAAACACACAAATTTTCATAGTTGTTATTAAAGGAGCTGCAGGAAAGAAAAATAAAAGGAAAAGGCAGTTCTTGATTCCAGCATGTTATGGTCAGATTTTCTTTTAGGAAAAAGTGGAAATTGGGTATGCGACCCTTCCTGTAAGAAATGCAGAAATACTTTGCTTTGACTTTCACATCTTTCTCAGCAAAACATACAAATTTTCCTAACTGACTATATGTCTAGATCTTAAGGCAAGAGAGAATATAGTTCTTTTTGTACTATTTTAATTTTGAACAAGCCATGTTTATGGTACTTAGCTCTTAGAAAAAAAAAAAGCAAGGAGAAATGGTATATCTGCCCACCACCATCTGCTATTTTTAGATTGGCTAGGAAGCCCTATTTGGCTGCCTTTGCCCATCTCATTTGGCAACTCTTGAGCCTGCATCATTCAGAAGACATAAGCTTAGAAGGTGCAAAACTGAATTTCTTTGATTTTTCCAGACGTCATTGCTGAAAAAACATACCATTACAAGCAATTTGAAGGACATTGGCTGTAAGTAAAACAATAAGTGTTTTCATTTAGTAAGGTGAGCCTATGTAACACAAGAGACATGATGTGTTTCCACCTTTATGCCTTAATAGGGGGTGAGGAAGGGATGAACCTTCTGTCCTGATTTGATTTTTATTCATTATCAAGAGAAATGTTTAGAAAAAGATGCAGATATTGTGCATACAGATACAAATACATTCGTGCTCATACATTTTTATGGCCTTTAAAATAAAATCCTTGGAAAAGAAAGGGAAACAATAGGAATGCCAAGAAAAGAAGCACAGAAACAATCTTAGAAATGATAGATTTTAAGATTAATGTACTGAGATGAATTTGAAAACTAAAGAAATGGAAGGTAAATAAAGAAATTAATTTTTCATTTATTTGGATAAAGGGACATAATATATCCATGGATCAGTTTTAAATGAGCATACGTATGGGCATTTTACAGACAATGAAATTTAACCTATTTTATCGGTAGTTTCTATGAAGTGTTTGGAAACATTTCTGTTGTTGGGTAAAGTAATTTCCAAAATGCTATTAAAAATCAGGTTATATATGCTATGTAGTTTTTCTTTGTCTATATTATTTTATTAGCTTCATACACTAACTTTCCTTTAACTGTTAAATTTTCCTTTAATTGTTAAATTATCATTTTTTATAATTGAAGAATTTTATTAAACCAGTTAACAAATGTTAAGTGCTCAATAAATGTTTTCTACTATAATTGTATTAGTATTTTAATATGTGTACAAATTCTAATAAAATTATATTAGAAAATTCATTTAAAGCCAGTCCTATTGCAAGCCGTTTAATTATATAACTGCACATTTAAGATGAAATTGACTTTCTCATAGCTGTTACAAAGCTGGCGTTTTCCTCCATCTTCAAAAGAGTTTGAGAAAAACTTATATTGTAAGCTTGGTCTTACGTCTAGTAGTAATGAAGAATAATTTTGCCTACTAGAAAGAGCTGTGGATATATTGCTCTATTTAAGTTTGTGATTATGAAATCTAATATAAAGGAGAATCCATTTACCGTGACTTAAGTTCAAAAATAAAATTTTTTTTACAGGTCTAACTTACTTGTAAAGGAAGTTCAGGAAGCATTTGTAAAGTGTTTTATTGTTTGCAAAGGACCTTTACATGCTTTATCATTTAATCCTCCCAATAACCATGAGATAAATAGTAGTATTCCTTTTTAAAAATGAGAAAACTAAGGCTCACAGAGATCACAATTTGCCTGTGACAAAACCAGGTTTTCAACAAGAGACAGGATCACTGGTTAGGATTCTATTAAAAAGGTAGCTACATAGGAAGGGATCATGTGAAAAATCCTAGGAGGTCCTTTCAAATCCACATTTCTGTGATTTCTATAGTTTTAGGCAGGAAGCAGTACGTTGAAGTAGGAAACACATGCGAAGAACTGGATTTGCTGTACCTGGCCTTAAGCAAGTAATGCAGCCTCTCTGAACCACACTTTCTCATGTGTAAAACAGTGTTACTGAAAAGACGAAATGAGATAATGTAGAACAGGGCCAGGTGCTTAACTGCTCAATGGTAGAACTATTATTAATATGTATGAAATCCAAATGCAGTAATCCTCTTAAAATACCCAGTTGCCACATAGCCTATTAGAGCCATACCTTTGGAGGGGAGCGTAGTGCTACTAATCAGCAACTGTTTTGGGTGAATGAGGAAAATGAATGGAGAATTTATTGAAGATGTTAAGAGCAGAGAAGGGAATTGCATAGAGTGGAACCCATAGACATATTTTGAAGTGGAAACCCAAATCACAAGTAAAAACAATGCAGATGGAAGGAAGAACTCTGCAGGAGCAAGAAATAGCCCACGAGCTAGCTTGGTAGAGGAAAGTGTGAGAATCACTTGGCTAAATTCTGGGCACACTGTAAATAACAAGTAAAAAAAATGTATCAGAGAAGCCACCAGCAACCTCTGTGATTCAGGGAGATGGCAAGTTTTAGCAGCGGGGTGGAATGGCTCACATTGCACATGGGCTTTATTATCTGATAGACCTAGGCTGTGATAGTTGCTAGATGTTTGACCTTGGACAAGTTATTTGATATCCTGTGTCTCTTCTGTAAAAGGAGAACAATAAATCCTACCTTGTAGAGTTGTTTAAAAAATTAAATAAAATATATGGGTAAAGTGCTTACTTACAGTGCCTCCTCCTCTGCCAAAAAATGTATATAAAATCTGTATGGGCAGGACCTTTGTTTTGTCCCTGTACCTGTCATATACATATGATAGTAGACAAATATTTGTTGAATGACTAAACAAATGAACTTGTCAAAGTGACTATGTGTGTGTGTGTGTGTGTGTGTGTGTGTGTGTGTGTGTATCCATGTGTCCATATGCCTTACTAAATAATGTGAGGAAAATTGTCCCAAGCTGTCGTGGTATTTATAAGATTTTTATCACGAGCCATCCCTCTCTACATTTCTATTACATTTATTGTCCAACCATTCAAGTAATATACTCACATCCTGTTTTATGTCATAATCTATGTTTTCTTTCCCCTAATTAGACTGTTAAGCTCACGGAGAGCAGAGTGCGTATTTATCCATTATTATCCAGTCCAATGCTATGCTTTTTTATCACTAGATTGGAATAAGAATATATGTTGTGAATTATCAGGCCACGTACCCAGGAATTTATACTTGATAATGGTGATTGGTCATGGTAGGATTTTGGCTGAAGATGAAAATATGTTTTCTTCCATTGTCTTTCATGGATCTTTGTCCAATGAAAGCCTGAAAGACATGTGCCAGTGGACAAGAACAGGACAGAGATTTATATGAGAGTTTAGGTTCTAATCCCGGAACAGAGGGTATGTGTTGGTGGATGTTTTTAGGTGTTCTTTGACAAACATGATCTCTCTTGCTTCTGAGCCTTTGCACATGTCCTTTGCCTCAAGATTTTCCCTTATTTTCTGTCCTTCATTTGTTAATTCCTATTCATCTTTCAGTTTTCAGCTCAATGTCACTTTCTCCAAGAAGCCTCTGCAATACTAACCTAAATTGGAAATCATCTGAGTTCCCATAGCACCCTGTACTTTCCCTATTATAGTACGTACAAAATTATATTGTAATTTTCTATTTGTTTGTTTCTGTCCCCTACTAGATGATAACTCCGTGAAGATAGGGGTTGTATATGTCTTACTATTATACCCTCGCACAGTGCCTATTACTCAATAAATACTTATTGAATAAATGAATGAAAAATGACTAGAGGAAAGGAAAAAAAATCTTCAAATTAATAGCTGTTTTATTGGATGTCTGTTAAGTAACTGGGCCTTTATATAAGTTAATATTTAATTCTTGCAACAACCCAGATGGGGCAATTGAGTTCAGAGAACTTGGTCAAAGTGATACTCCTGAGATTTCAACCAGGATCTCCAGCTTAAAAGCCTCTGTTCCTTCCATTTGGTAATACTGCCTCTCTCATACTTTACATTTGTATAAGTTGTTATAAGCTCCAAAACTTTTTTTGCTCCTTGTGAAACTTTTTTTGACAGCCTCGTAAAGGTAGGCATTATCTCCCACTTTATATCGAGTTAAGTGGCAAAGCCATGATTTTCAAAATAGACATTGTGGATCTAGGTTCATTCCCTTTCCGTAATAACACAGCTGTCTCATTCTGAAGGATTCAAAGGTGTGAGGCCATAACAAAAATGGTGAGAAGATAAAAGTTTAAAAAGTGACAAGGAGTTTTTGATCATAAAGAATATGAATAGGGCCAGCCGAGTGGCTCGTTGGTTAAGAATTGGCTTGGGAGCACTAGCTCTGAGCAGCAGGGCTGCCGGTTTGGATCCCACGTGGGCCAGTGATACTGCACCCTCTACACCTAAGATGGTGAACAACAGCTTGTCCTGGAGCTGGGCTGCTGTGAGTCGCTGCTACATCGTAGGCTGCAGTGGGCTGCCGTGAGCTACCGTGAGTGGCCGGCATGAGCGTGAGTGGCTGTCCAATGGCCGGCGACCAACCTGCCTCAGCCGGGAAGAGCACAATGATCACAATACCAACATGGGTCAGTGAAGCGACGTCCTCCACAACTAGACTGAAGAACAAAAGGACAGCAACTTGTCTGTTCCCCTTTCCCGATTCCATTCCCCAATGCTGTTCCCTCCCCCAATTCCCCAATAAAATCTTTAAAAAGAAAAAAAAAAAAGAATATGAATAATTCCAGGTAGATGTATTTAGGAGGCTGGAGTAAATTCTGTGTTTGCAGGAAGAGAAAAATTAATCAAGTTGGGAATAATTGTTCTCAGTACTATCAAGTTATTTCTTTTTGATGTCTGATTATTTCTTGGCCTTATATTGCTAAGAGCTCAGAAATCATAGAATCCCTACAGAATAGTTTTTCACTAATGGGACAAAATTGTGCTGTTAGGTGAATGTGATGCAGCTCCGTCCTATGATTAGCCCTTCTTGTAGCAGTTTGTTTTGCAGTTCCTTTGTTTATTCCACACCCCTCAAATTGTGGCTTCTGGTAGGAGGGAGCTTGGGTTTGCCCAAGGTCATTGACTTTGGCCACCGTTGGCCTATGACTTCTTTGTTCTTTAGCCTCCCACCAAAAATTACTCCTGAGAAGTAAGGAGAATGAGAAAGCAGTAATAGGGAGTGTTATATTTTTTACTGAAACCAGCAGAGGCTCAGAACCAAGGGAAGCAGATCTCCACACCTTCCCCAAGTGGAGAAGTTTCCCATACATGCAGAGAAAAGAAAATTTAGTGTGAAAAGGAATTTAAATTTATTTTTTTAGTCTTGCTAGCTAGAGTGTTTGGCAACTGCTTTGATACATATAGGTCACTGGACTATTCAGTGATGGAAATGCAAAAATCTTGAAAAGAGTACTGTTTTTTTATTTCAAAAAGTATTTTTTGAAGTATTAAGAGATTGTAGTTTTCTAAAGCTACAATCAACCAAAATGTTATTGTAATCTCTTAGCAAAATGTGAGATTTAAATGAAAGACTTTGAAAC